GGCTCCTGAGCCAACACCTTGCCTAGATGTTTCCAGTAGGGCTGTGCGAAGCTTCAGTCACTGATTCGATTCAGAGGAGATTCAGCTCGATTTGGTGGCTGAATCCGAATCAAATCAGGAGACCCATTAATCTCTCCAAATCAAATCGGAAGCCTCCGATTCGATTAGGAGAGATTCAACAATTCGGCCATAGACCTAGCTTTATATGTTTTTTCTATATACCTCAAGGTACCAGGCACAGCTCATGAACGCTGAGGTGGTGGGGTGGATGGAGCATCCCACGGAAGTGCAGGTGGGGAGGTCCCCCGCATGCTCGGCAGTGGACCCGGAAATAGACCATAAGTACTACTGGTCCACTTCCGGGTCCGCTGCAGAGCACATGGGGGACCCCCCAACCCTGGCAACTGGTGCCTCCTGGGTCTGGGAGGGCACCCAGGGTCCCACCACAGCCAATTGCCAAGCTAGGGTACATGGGAAGTCCCCCGCGCACTTGGAGGCAGACCTAGAAGTGGACCGGAAGTAGTTCTGGTCTACTTCCGGGTCCCCCACACTCCTGTGGGATGCTCCATCTGCCCCACTATCTCAGCGTTCACAAGGCACGCCTAGTACCTGTAGATATGTAGAAAAAACATATAAGGCTCTTTCTATGGCCAAATTGCTGATTTTCCAAATCAGAATCGAGTCTTCAGATTAGGCCAAACTGAATCAGTACAGTGATCCGAATCAGCTAATCTAATCACTGTCCCCTGAATCGGGCCGAATCCGAATCGAATACTTCCCCCTTCGCACACCCCTAGTCTCCAGTATACAAAAATGGCTGTGGGAAGGATATAGAAAGTAGCATGCCAATAGCATAAATTAGGCTGCTGTAATTTATGGCAAAGCCAAAGCATGGCATCCTAACTGTTACTGTCTCCTCTTTACAAGTGACAGCCAGACACAGGGAAGAATCTGGTTCCATGCCCAGCCTGTGCCTCATCTTCTTAATTGTTAACCCTTCTGTCTTTGCTTTCACATGTATGATGTAGGCAGGAAATCAAGTTTTAGAATTAATTTTCAGAGAGAATACACATAATATCACTTATAGATTTAATTTAAATGAAACATTATTATTATTTTTGGAAAGGGTTAATGCATATTTAGAGAATCTGTTCAACCTATCATCTGCAGGTACCATTTTAAATGGAGATGGGAAACTAATTAGCACACAAGATCCTGAAAGCTAAAGCCAACCTCAGGCAGCTTTGCCTTTTAGTGGAAATCCAGTTATGCATTTTTCCCTCTTAATGTTTCCATTCCAGTTGTTAGTTTTATTATTAGAACAGAGATATAGCAGCATTAATTAAGGAAGAATGGCATTAGTGGGAAATGTGGGTAATTTAATCTCTGCTGGTAGATTTATGCCTTGGGTAAGTATTCATAATGATATGGTTTTGTAATTATTTACATCTTAGAAATGATCTGAAGACATGGATGGATTGTTGCTTTGCAGTAGGCCAATAGCAATGCTTTATGCAGTAAATAATATGCAGAAATTTCATTAAAATGTGAAGTACTTTCTAGTGATTAGGTCAGGGGACTGAGTGTTAATCCTCTTAGTCTGTGTTTCTGCTTCATCACATCCTGCTGTGTTCTCAGGCTTTTGGGGTAGACCTAATTTAATACCTATTGACTTAAGTGGAAGTTTAATCAGTTCCCTTTTATGACATCAGTTGTGCAATTTATTCTTCTAGAAAATGGGCCCAGTAGATATTTCAAAGGGTAACATGAGGCTCAATAAATATCTTTGGTTCCTAGTCAACAGTGGAGTATAATGCAAATTGTTTCAAGAAAAGTATTTCTCTATAAAGGTGAACTTTTTAATTAATCAAGCTTGTTAGTTTTTGACAGTAAAGCATTAGGTAGCTCTTGTTATCCATATATCTATTAAAACATAGGGTGAAGGAGATCATTCCAGTATCGTATTTATTTATCTTTTTAAATGGCAAAATATCTGATGCAAAACAAGCTAGGGAAGATAAATGTATTCAAATCTAGAACAACTCTAAAGATCAGATTAGAGCACTGGAAATTAAAATGTTCACTCAGGATCTTCACTACTTATACAGACTATGGTACCTTGCATATAGTGCGCCACAGAATTAGTTATGCACCTTATTTTTAAAAGGTTGAATGAAGAAAAGAAAGATCTTTCCTTGTAATAAGTAAAGCAGGCCCCCTCTACAGGTTACAGGTATTGTGCAATTACCTGGTTAACTGTGTAATTACCTGCAGACCAGCTATGCATGCAAAGTAGCTATCACACAATATACAGGTCCAACCAGCTATAAAGTTAGACCTCAAAAATGTGTACCAACTTTATAGCTAGTTGCTGTTGAGCTTCTCTGAAAGATCTAGATTGCTCTGAATGGTTGCCCTGCTCTCATCACCATCTGTCTCACATTAACAGCAGTGATTTCACATTTTCTTCTGGATCAAGGCTGTCCAACTCATGAGCAGCCAGGGGTTGCATGCCCCCCTAACTGTGCAGGCCTCCTGTTATACTGCTGACACTGCCACATCATACCGCAGATGCTCCCATGCAATGCCATGCTTCACAGGCACATTCTAGGCCCCTTGCCTCCAGGGGCGGGGGCAGGAAGCTGGAGCCAGAGAAGGGAGGGGGAAGACTGGCAGCCAAGCAGGAACTTGCAGGCCACAATTTAATCTCCAGTGTATTTGGGCACCCTGTTCTAGATCATTTATGAACATACAAAATAGTCTCAGCAATAGCATGAAACCCCTGTGTAACCTTACTAGTAATACCCCATTTGATGATTCCCTAATCAAACGTTTTTTAGAAGCCTGTCAGCCTGTTCTTAATTCATTTAGTATTTTTTTATACCATATCATAAATCTTTTTTTAATCAAAATATTGAGCATGTTACAAAAGTCAGTATATTTTTATATCTGTGCATTTGTCATAATCAACTTAACTTGTGAACTCAACAATATGATGCAAGACTGATTTGCCAGTAAATTGTGACTTGAAAACCTTATCTCAATTGACTGATAGACTGGAACTTTAAGATAATAAATTTACTGTTACCAAAACACTGGAAGTATTTTGTAAGTCATTTTAGGCATAGTGTAATTAAGATCCAGTTGCACAACTTGAACTTGATTCCTGATTCTTCTGTGAAGAGTACTGTCCAATCACCATGTTTCATTTAGTGAGAGAAAGAAAGGAATTTTTCCTTCCACTTTGTGCCTCACTGGAAAGTTATAAAAATGTAACAGCCTGAGCACAAATCAACTCATTGAACTACACTGAAATACTGTAATGAAAAAATAATTAGTGCGTATTGGCTAATAGGACAAATAGGCTTTTATGAGGCTGTTCTACACTAGCATTCCTGATAGATACAGTTATAGCATGCTCAGTACTACTCTGATGACGAGTCAGTTGCTGAGAAGTAGGAAGGTGCGGGAGATTAAGCAACTCAGAGAACAGTCGGGAAAGTATGCAGTGTATTAAGTGAATTATAGAATGAGCTTTTTGAAAAAGCCTGAAGTACAGTATTAGAATAGTCCAAATGAGATGATGTGATGTGCGTAAATAGGTCAAATACACTACACATGTTGGTTCTGTTATTTACTCCTGGTGTTTTGCAGGCAGGGCATAGCTTTCACATAGCTAATAAACAGGCTCTTGTAATTCCACAGGACTGTGCCAACTTACTGGGAAAGAAAGCAAAAGTCCGTGTAAACACAGAAATAACTCTTGGTTGCAGAATTCCAGATAAACATAAAGTTAAGAGTGTATGCATAGCAAAGCCACAACTAACCAAAGTTAGTTAACCTTGGAAACTTCAGCCAAAAAATGAAGAATTTTTATTTTAAAGGCTTAATTTGGAGTTTCAAGAATGCCTGCATAAAGCTTATGAAATAGACCTCCATCAGATTTTATTGGAAGAGAAGGGTGGCAGGCATCATTACTAGTAATTTTATCAGGTTTAGCTTTTAAAACCATCTCCTATCTTCTCCCTTCCTCAAGAACCTTTTCCTTATCTACATATTTCCTTTTCTAATCTAATCTTTCTCCTTTTTCCCTTGTGTTCTTTCGTTTGAAAAACTGCTAGCAATTATTCATGAATATCAAACTGGTGCCTGAAAAAGTATGAAAGAACTAGGGAGGGGAGAGGGGATTGTCTGTAGAAGCACAAGATGGTCACAGAGAAGCTCTTACTGAATTACAGTAAGACCCAGAGGCAATCAGTATTTGGGGGCCAGTTTGTAGTAGGTGCTATAGTTTATGAAGTGACAGTTGAAGTATCTGCAAATCCAGAGCAACAAAAATATAATTCAACTGGCAGGGATGAGATTTGGTGGTGAATACCAAATTGTTGACAAAGCTGAGCCCACAAAAGGTAATGCTTAAACTTTTAAATATTTTTTGTTATTTTCCAAGAATTTGGAGTCCAGTATTAAAAATGATTTTCCCAAACCTTTCTGACTCATAAGGGTTTTTTTTTTTCATTAAGAAAAAATAATTTAAAAATAAAAACCCTTCCTACCTTAAAGGACATTTTTAGAAGTTCTTCCCCATGGCCCACATTAATTCCATTTCTCTTAATCCATGATCCTGAGGTGAAGTTATACAGCTGAATTTGAAGATATGCTTTCTGATGTTACTTTCAGAAATCTCACGTTTATGACTCAACCGCATGATCAGGCAGAAGGAGCTTGATGATCTTAGCACAGATGTGTTTTCTTCTGCTGTAATCTATCCTTTCCTACATCTTGAGCAGCTCAGTGGAACCGGGTTTTGTTTTCTTCTAAGGCCCTGAAACCTAATGGAAGTTACTGTTATCTATTTAAAGTGAAACTACAGTTGTTTTCCACCATGAATGTTAGCCCCCTTCCCCACCCCATCCCCTCCCCCCCACCTCAAAAAACAAACCCAAACCTTTCTGGCTTTTAAGAGGTTCAACACTTAATGGAAAATGTTTCTTTTTCAGGCCTATTGTATCTGAACAGAATGAATTGCTCATACAGTTCTTGTCTGATTTAAGTTTAACTGCCGATGGCTTTATTGGTCATTATAAATTCAGACCCAAAAAGTTGCCCACAACTACAGCTCCTCCTCCAACAACTCCTCCTCCTGCAACAAGTAAGTTTTAATGGTTTTATTTATTTTATATTGAAGAAGGAAAAATTTCAGGACAAGGAAAGATTCTGTAACAAGAAGCACTTTAAAACCTAGAACTTGGTTTTGTGGTTTGTTTGCATTAAAAAAGTTGAGGGAATGCATGAAAATTAATGTGCTCAGGGGAATAACTAGAATCTATTTAACATAATTAAAGAAAACTCCTCAAGTCTAGATTTTACTGTACCTATAACTGTCACAGTTGGAAAAAGTCTTATCATAGAAATATTGAACAAGGATTAGCTAGACATATTTCTGAATCCATTCATTTTTCTGATAGTTAGCTAGCAAGTATCTTCTACCATGATAAACTGCGCAGTGAAATTGATATTTATTTTAAATAAATTGTTTACTTCTCTGAAAACTGCTTTGGCTTAGACCTCTGAGGAAACCATGAAATTGTTTCTAGATGAGTTTGTATGTAAAAATTGTCCAGACTTGTCTTTGCTATGCTGCTCAATTTCTGAGATTAAATGAATGGTAAGAAGGCTAACTGAATTCTCATTAGACTCTCCTGGCAACAGCATAGAGGCATTTTTTCTTTGTAAGTAGATCTTCTGCGGATTTAAAAAAATCATAGAATCATAGAGAAGTATGGCTGGAAGGGACCTCCATAGGTCATCTGGTCCAAACCCTTGCCTGAGGCAGGATCATCCCTGTCCAAACCATCCCATGCAAATCCATAATCTAATCTGTTAGTGAAACTACAGTCAACCCTGACACAACACAAGACATAACATCCTAATCTGGCACAGGTAAAGCAGAGGGACCATGGCAGCCAATGTCCTGCCATAGTAAAAAGTTGTTAATATAAGTTCAAGTGATGCCATTCCCCCTGCTACAGAGGAAGGCAAGATCCCCCACAGTCCATACCAATCTGACTGTGAAGTAAAACTCTTTCCTGATTCCAGATAGGGAGATCAGTCTGACCCTGAACAGAAGGGCAAGACCCTCTAGCCAGGAGCATTGGCACACCCCAGTCACAATCCCCAGCCTTGGCTGCAGCCAACACCCAGTGTCTGAGGAAGGCTTCAAAAAACATCCCTTGACAAATGTAGCAGTCGGGGGGTGTAGAGAGGAGGGGAAGGGAATTCCCTCCAAGCCCCATGAGGCAACTAGCAGAAAAAAATGTTCACAAGTTTGTGTTCTTTTATTAAAAGAACTGTGCAATACTAACAAATAAGACCCCAGTTTATACTTGAATATATAGAGAAGCAGTGGAACATTTCCAGTATGTTTCACCAAATTTCATAGTTTCATAGTTTCAGGGTCGGAAGGGACCTAATAGATCTTCTAGCCCGACCCCCCGCCAGGGCGGGAGAACAACCCAAAAAACACAAACAAAACCACTCACCCTAAAAACAAAAACGGGACTCAAATGAGTCCAGCCAGGTAAGTATCCAGCCTCTTCTTAAAGATCCCCAGGGTAGGGGCCAGCACCACCTCCCTTGGAAGTTGGTTCCAGCTCCTAGCCGCCCTGACTGTGAAGTAGTTTTTTCGGATGTCCAATCTGTACCTCCTCTCCATCAACTTGTGCCCATTACTCCTTGTTATGCCAGCGGGGGCTAGGGGAAACAGCGTCTCCCCCAAACCCTTCTGGTTCCCCCTAGTGAGTTTATAGACGGTCACCAGGTCCCCCCTCAGCCTTTTTAGGTAAAAAAATTTTACCTTTTTGCTGGGAAGTTGAAGGGTTTTAACTCTTGCAGTTTCTCTACACTGGATAGAAAATATTCCAGGGACAATGACAGTGTAAATACATCTTACCATGTTTACTCAAATGTAAGGCGACCCCCCAATAATTAGATTTTATATATGGAAAATTTATAAATTTGATATAATTTTTCTAGGTATAGAATTTAATTATTAGAGGTTTGTCTTGAATTTATCAACCTCTTACTGCTATAGCAGGGAAAATAAATTGGGGCGGTGGGGGGTGTCAGATAGCTGCTTTGCTGCCCCGCCTCTTTACTGTCAGACCCTGCTCTCCCTGAGCACTTGGAAGTAAGGAACAAATTTGAAAAAACTGGCCTTGAAATAAACATAGCTGTAGCAATTTCATATAGTACCAATAGACTTATTTAATCCAAAATTGATGCATACCACATTTTTTAAAACTTTGCAAGTTTTAGCACAGGTACTCCATGAACACTTTTAAGGAGCACTTTTATACCTACTTAGAGTTCAAACTATGCATGATTTTAGTCCAAAGCCAAAAGGCTCATGATTTTTCATGTACGTCATTGGGCTGGGCCCTTCCAGAGTCAACAGCATTTCAAGCCATGGTGACCCTACAGCTCAGCACTGCTCAGTATGTGCGTGTACTCCAGATACCTCCTCCCCCCCTTCCCCATCCAAATCCACATGCTAATTAGCCTTCACTCATGACTGGAAGTGGGTGTTCTCATCATGAGTCCTGGGATCTTCCAAAAATGTATATGATGATGAGGCGTAAAGCAACCTGGTCCAGCTTCACCTCATGGAGGGTGGGGCCACACTAATCATGTGACAGGCTGAGAGGGGGCCTGACAGGGATTTGGGGTAAGGTATTTGGGGCCTGATTTGGTGATGTTTCCCAGACATTAAAACTGGTGAAGAAACAGGAATAACTGGAAATGGGAAAGAAAGGTGGGCTGTGCTAGCTTATCCTTGTGGTAGGTTCCATCAGTATGTTTGCCTCATATGGGTCATGTACTCGATAGTGATGCTCAGTGTTGGCTGCATTTAATCAGCTTCGTAGTTGATTTATAACTGAACGCTTACTGCTTTTAGCAGAACTTCAAAGACAGGCAGTGTATTTAAAGTGGTTTCCTTGTATGCAAATGTAGCTTTTCCCTCCCATGTTGATTGGGGGAGAAAAAACTGTGTCATATATTGGAGTAAATACAGTATTTATGGTGTTTTCTGCAGTATATGGTTTGATTTTTATATTTAAAAACAGATCGAATTGTAAGAGTAGCTTCACATGGGGTTTTCAG